CTTTAATGATGATGCTTTGGGGAAATCACAGGTCTACGAGTGGTTTTCCCGTTTCAAATCTGGCAACATGTCAACAGAAGACATGCCACGCCCCAGGCGTCCTTCGACAGGAAGAAATGACGAAAACATTGCCAAAATCAAACGTGCAATTGATGAAGATCGTCGAAAGACCATTGACCAACTTTCTGAGGAAACGAACATCTCATGGAGCACGGTCCAGCGAATTTTAACCGAAGGTTTGCACATGAGACGGGTGTCTGCAAAATTTGTTCCTCGCTTGCTCGGAGATGACCAAAGAGAAAACCGCGTGAATGTTTGCCGCGACTTGAAGAGTGAAGTGCAGAACGATCCAGAATTTCTTAAAAGAATTGTGACTGGCGATGAGTCTTGGTGCTACGGGTACGATCCAGAATCAAAGCAATCATCAAGCCAGTGGAAAACTCCAACTTCACCACGACCGAAGAAAGCGCGTCAAGTGCGATCCAATGTGAAAACAATGTTGATTTGTTTTTTTGATGTGAATGGCATTGTCCACAAAGAGTTCGTTCCGCCAGGACAAACAGTGAACCAACATTTTTACCTGGATGTGTTACGAAGATTACGAGAGAGTGTGCGACGAAAACGGTCCGAAATGTGGAGAAATGGGAACTGGTTGCTTCACCACGACAATGCTCCAGCCCACACAGCTTTGACGGTCCGACAGTTTTTGACAAGCAACAACATGGTGATTGTGCCTCATCCACCTTACTCACCCGACCTGGCTCCGTCGGACTTTTTTTTTTGTTTCCACGGATGAAGAGAAGACTGAAAGGAAAGCGATTCCGTGATGTGGATGAAGTCAAAGAAAACACGCTAAAGGCTTTGAACAGTATCCAGCCTCAAGAATTCCGCCACTGTTTTGAGCAGTGGCAAAAGCGTTGGGACAAGTGCATTAATGCACATGGACAATACTTTGAAGGGGACTAATATACAGTTCAATAAAAATGCAAAATAAAAAATAACAAAAATAAATTCCGGTTATTTTTGGGTCCCCCCTCGTATGTATGTATGAATGTATGTACATATGTTTGTATTAACATATATACGTAAGTATGTATGTATGGTTGTGTGACTCACTACTGCCTAACAGTTCAACAGATCTGATTCATATTCAGTACCGAAGAGTTGGTCCATCCTACACTGGTTGTGGGTGAATAAGAACATTTCAGCACCAGAAATGGAAGTCCTTCAAATGGGTCTCTAAACACAAAATAGTGATTTTCTTGAAAATAATTCTAAGGATTCTGATTAAATATCATATCCTTAAACAAAACTACAATAACACTAAAAGAACTTTAAACATCAACTCTATCAAAATTGGCTTTAACAGTCAAACCAAATTCACTGCTTTTGGTATTCAACAAACAGCTGAGTCTACTGAGCAACAGGCGATTTAGTTTCCACGGTAACGTTGTCAAGGTTAATGACATATGATAAAGAATGTGCTATCTCTCTGCACTAACCTCTTTCTTGGTTTTAAAAGGATCATTTTTGCAGAAAATGTGCCACCTTTGACATTTTTCACTTCTTACATGTGCTGTCAACTTCAGCATTATTCCTGTTCTCTCACTTGTCAATTCTACTTTACTTCACTAGTTGTTGGTATTTATGTTAAGTAATGTTTGTTCAGATTCATAATTACATGCTTCCTAGAATATCATATACAGTGTGAATCTTATCGTTATTTTTGCGTTCTTTAACACATTTTTGGTATGAAGGCTATATATGGTATATATAGGCTATATATGATGAACTGAAAACGATCTGGAAGGAATAAATCATGGCCTAAAAAAAGGTTCTGCCCTGTACTTTGTCTGGAGGGAAACCCTCAGGTTAGCTGGTAACACAGCCAAGATTTGATCCAAGCACCTCCGTATCTCTAGACCAACCTGCCAAGTTCTAAGACTATAAACCCAAAGAATGACAAGTAAATAATCAAAGATTATCATATTATTTATGCTTATATGTTTAAAATGTTTATGGTTTTACTAATACTATGGATGTGGAACTGCCCACATCAGGTCTTTTCAAAACTATATGCACTGTTGCATGTACTTATTTACTGAAATATTTGGCAAATATCATTGCAATTGCCACCACTGAACATAGCAGTCTTTAGAGAATAAGAGCTAAAAGAAACCACTTTCAACATTTGCTCCATCAGCACCCGAAACTATTCATATTCATTTGCAGAAATTTTGTATTACTACAGCCAGAGTACAGTCATTGGCACTGCTCACAATTAGAGATGTTCTGCTTCAGTATTCAAAATCTGTGTGGATTATTTCCCTAAACTGTAACCAGACAGAACTCGGTAACATTTACTTTCTAAACAGACTTTTGGAACCAAAAAATCTTATTTTTAATGTAATATTTAGGTAATGCAAGTTTTGGACCAAACAACAAAATGCAATTTAGTTCACGGATTAGCATGCTGCATTTAATAGATGTTCAGACCAATGAATCATTTTAAGGTTAGTATTTCTTTATTGCTTAAACAGCAATTTTAAATTAAATTTAAGGTTGCAGCAGATACAAGTTTAAAAATGCAGAAAGAACCAAAATGAGCAACAGGATGCAGTATACATAAGTATAATAACTTGGAGATAACCAATATAAGCAAAAGGAAGAGTAACTAGTACTGACCCTTCCTTTGCTCTTGTTGGATCTGGGATTCTTTATTTGTCTATATCTCTTTCCCTGTGTTCCTATTTGTCCTTTATTTTCCTATGTCTGAACTTGTTTTTCCACAGCATATGCCTGTCCACCCCCTCATTGGTGTCTCCACCTTATCCTGGTGAGGGGGTTTGAGTATGCCAAGGACCCTGAGAGCTATACCAGTGGAAGCGTAGCTACTGGCAGGGCCTCCCTTGTTGGACAGGTCAAAGGGTAAGCATCAGACGAACAGAGACACCAAAAACCAAAAACTGATGCCGGAAGCAGCGCCATCAGCAGCAACTTGAAGCACAGAGCAAATGATGCTCGTGATGGTTCAAGTTTGTATAGCAACAGGCATGACCACAGCTGTTGTACTGCGATGTGGAAAGCAAATGGAAAAACTACCACATTATCACTTTTCCTGGATAGTCTCTTTCCAAAAACAGAGACACCATGTATGCGAGACTAAACTGGAGGGGCGGATAGAAGTGCCAAGAAGACGAGGAAGACGACGTAAGAAGATGCTGGATGACTTTGGGGATAGAAGAGGATATTTTTATTTGAAGGAGAAGGCTCTAGATTGCATTAAGTGGAGGAACTCTTTTGGAAGAGACTGTGGACCTGTCGTCTGACAGATTACTGCTGAATGAATGCCTGTCCAGTATGGCTGGAAGCAGCCCTCAGCATTATCCAAAAGTTATAAATAGTGCAGAACAAAGTTCTATGAATAACAAGAAATGCTTCACATGCAACCAGTACTTGAAACCTCCATCAAGCATTCAAAATGTCAACACTAGATAAAATCATAGATAAGGTGTAGGAAAAACAGGACAAAGTTTCATGAAATAGTAGTAGTAGTGGTAGTAGTAGTAGTAGTAGTAGTAGTAGTAGTAATATCAGCAGTAGCACCAGCAGCAGCAGCAGTGTTGGTGGTGTTGTTGCTGCTGCTGCTTCTATCATTGTCATCGTCTGTGAAGTCATCATCATTTCTGCTGCTCCTGCTCATGTTGCTGCCATCCTCATCACTAACATTATTGTTACTGCTGATCTTTTTGTTTTTGGTGTGGTGTTGTTGTTGTTGTTGTTGTTGTTGTTGTTGTTGTTGTTGTTGTTGTTGTTGTTGTTGTTGTTGTTGTTGTTGTTGTTGTTGTTGTTGTTGTTGTTGTTGTTGTTGTTTGTTGTTGTTGATGCTGCTGCTGTTGCTATTGTCACTGTTGAGGTCATTTTTGTTACCACCATTTTCTTTTTGGGAAATCTTCACATTTTGGTACATATATTGTTTGCGATCAATTTGTTAGATATAATATCAAAGTTTGTACTTCTGAGATGACTTTAGTTGTTGACTTATAAACCACATTTCAAACAAAAATTGCAGTGATGCTTATAGTCCACATTCACAGAAAACTTCATATCCCTGGTTCTAACAGTCCATTTGCTACTGCTGTCAAATCAGAAGCTATGTGGATATACTGCAGAGCAACCATGTTGTTCTATATTCTATAAAAAAATTATGTTAAGAAAAGGTGCATATTTTTTAAGACCTATTACTACACATAATTTCAGGACCCTATATTACATGGTGCCTGTATCATTCCCATGTCACCTCATATTCATGTAAACAGTGGCAAGAAATTAAAAGGTATGAGGCTGGAGCAACAACCAATGACATAATATCAATAACATATTTTCTTAATTGGTGAATATGTCCAAACGCTGAAAGCAGAGCTCATATATACAGAGTCTGCTCATCTCATCAACTTATTTTTCCTCTAAGAAAGCGAAGTAAGCCTTAGATAACAGGGGCTGAGATATGGAGAGTAAGCTGGCCAGCACTGACTGTATCTGCAACATGCAGAAAATCAATTACACAGAATTCAGTCATGAAAATGGTCACAGAGGACATCTAGCACTGCATATAATGCATGCAGTTGAGACCTCTCATACTGCATGGAGGGGAGGGGGGGATGTTCCTTGAAACCAGTACCCATAACCTAGAAGAGAGGAAGAAAATATTCTTTCAAGATTTCGAGCTAATGGATAGTATTCGCAGTATCATCAAGAAAAATCTGTTCCACAATCTCATTACCCAAACGGTGCACCAACCCCCTGCATTTTAGGATATGTGATAGTGTCTGTATTACTTAATGAATGTGTTTTATATAGCTCATACATGTATATTGTGCTTAGCTAATATGGTCATTCACACAAGGTGTGGTCATAGCAGCAACACCATTGACTCATACTGGGGAGGTGCTAAGTTCCAATCTTTAGCCTCAACAACTGATGTCCTGACTGAAATTCTTCATTGCTTTCTTTGGTCCTCCAGGCAAATGCCAAGACAGTACCTCAATACAGGCTTCAACTTTCCCTGTAAAATTCTTTAAAAATTTATTATTCATCTGTCATCTGACACTACACAGACTAGCTACACACAGCGCTGTTTGTTACTTGTATATATTGTAATGTTAGTTGTTATTTGCAGCAGTTATTGTCCCACTGTCTGTAATGACTGATGCCCTTGAGGTCAGTCTTTGCTCACTTGGTACTTCACCATAATGCCAATGTGCAGTCATTCTTTTCTCTCATTTTCTCTCTCATGATTGCACTGAATTGAAAGGTGACTCTTCTTTAGCTAACTGAATATCTGACTCATCAGTGGACTGCAATGACTAAGTCCTGACTCACAGCACTCAGTGCCTTCACGTATGAATTACACTGAAATTTGACTCAGGCTAAGACTTTCTTTTTGTGAGGCTTGCAGACCTTTTTTATGGATGCCACTTCAAGAATGTACTCATGTCAGCATGAGGGTCTGCAGCTCCTGGCTTTCTGCAAGAGTGAAGAAGAAAGGAGGAATCTCGATGTTCAAACAAGTAAACCAAGAATCCCCACCCAGTCAGCTCCCCCAACACTATTTTAGTACATAATACAGTTATAACAGGTGCATCATTTTGAAAAGACTTTGTAGACATGCATTTCACAGTCAGTTCCTTTACAGGTAATTCTAAGACCATCTTGTAGCCCTATCTGTGTTATCATACATGCACATGTTCCTTGCACCATATTCTAAAACTGAATCACTGTGCTCCCATTTCAAACTAACAGAGTCAACTACTGGGAGGGGTGAGGACACTTTGGCAGAAAGTCTGCCACATTTTAATTGTTCCCTTTCATATATATGTTGCCATCTTCATGTAATTATCTGTGTAAATTCATCTACTATTTCATTCTTAGTCCTAAAAATATAACTGTAGGATGGTATGGCTTACAGTGCCATAATGAAAGACATAGGCATGAATCATGATATGAGGCCATTTTTAATGGAATTTTCATTGATTTGGTAATTTCCGTTTACAACTATACTTCATCTGTTCCACTACAATGAACAAATTTTGCATCAGAGGGGACAAGCAAAAGGTAACAAATAGGACAAGCAAAAGGTAACAAATGAAGGTAGACTAAGGAGGCCATGTCATCACAAAGGTTAAACTGTTACAGCCATCTGTGAGCCACTCCATGTGTCCTCATATTATGATTTGACTCACCCGAAGATGTCACTTCATCCTCTCCAAAATCTGAAAAGCCATCGCTATTAGGATCTGAATAGAAAGAGGTCCACTTGGGTGAAGAAACAGCTGCTAGCACCGCACCCTTCAGTTTTCTTCGGGCATTGAATTTCTTCATTTCTTCAACTGTCTCTTGCAAATGAATCTTGGTAGCACCCTTGTCTCGATCCTAAAAGACAATAAGAAATTAAATTAATTAATGTCCAAAAAGTCAATCTTCGCTGAAATAAGAAATTAAATTGGTTACTTGCTCATGCGGCAAATGAAAAAAATGGTCCATACAAATGCTAAAGTACATACTCTACCAGTAAATAAGATCCAAAAGTATGTGATGATGGTATATTAATACTATCATAGACTTTCTAGGGATCATCCACTGTTCCGCTTCTTTTTTAAAACAACATTTTAGTCAGTCTATGAAACATGTTTTAAAAAAGAACAGGACAATGAACATGTCTAAAAAGTCAGTAATTGTATATTCCACCAGGCTGCACAGATATGGTGTGTAGAGTGCTCTTACTTGGTTACAGTCTGGTACTGATTTTGCATCTCAACTTGATGAGGGCACCAATACTTCAAATTGCATAAAACATTTAACTTAAGTGAGATACACACATGTAGTAAAGTTAAGCAGCAGCACGCAGACAGAGAGCCTACACAGAATAACACCTGTACAGTGCGGAAAACAAAAAGTGGCCACTGCAGCACTATAGACATAGGGCGAGTAACTCTGAGAATTTTAAATTCGAAAAAAAATTTAAATTTGGAAAAAATTTTAAAGGAATTTTTTAAAATTGGAACTGAAGATTTTAAAAGTGCCAGTTCATGAAAGTCAAAATTGACGTGTGTAGGTAACAAAGATAATGTACAAATCAGACAGATATCAGTGAAGTAGATTCTGTTAGCAATGACAAAGGGAACAATTGGGAAGACCTGGGTTTTTAAATTTTAAACTAAGTGCAGTGTAACAGCTACGTGAGTGTATACACCTGATGATGGCCGTTTGCGGCCGAAACATGTAGTGTAGAAGAAGGCAAGACGAAAGACCTACAATAAATTGTTGCACTTAGAACGGGGTTTATATCATATAACGTTAGTTAAACTTGAATTTACAAGTGATGATGCTGCAAATATAAGAGGAAGCCAGTCCGAAGCTGTTAAAATTTTAATGGGGGAACAAATAATTTTGCTGTACCGAATCATTGTTTTATTCATCATGAAACTTTAGCATCAAAAATTACTCCTTCTAATCTTATGGAAGCTTGAAAAAAGAAGCAAGTATTGCTAATTTCATTAAATGGAGCCATTGAATAACTGATCCCTTATGACATACAGTTACACCTTTTTCTTTTGTCTGACATTGTCAGCATTTTCCAGAAGACGCAACTGAAATTCTGACAACAAATGTTTAGATAATGTATCCTTCGGTTTTTTTTTAATCCTTAGTCAATAATAAAATTTAACTTGATACTGGAAGAGGAAAGAAACTGTTGTAACTCAGTTCTTCAGTCACGTTGAAGATCATTACCAGGTATCAAGTTCATCATTATTTTGGGTTAAGATACGAGGCTCGTCCACAAAGTAAGTTTCCCTGGGGCCGTTTACAGAAACGAAACATAATTTCATGGAAATATTTATTGCAACAGATACAGAAAGTGTTCACTTATTTTTAAACATAATCGCCACCGGAATTGAGACATTTGTCATACCGTGGGACCAACTTATGAATACCTGTGTCATAGAAGTCTGCCGCGTGGGATTGGAACCACTGTGTGACAACCATCTCCGCCTCTCTGTCATTCTCAAAACGCTCACGCTCGCCGGACAGGAATTTCTTGAGGTGTAGAAAAAGATGGAAATCACTGGGAGCGAGGTCCAGGCTGTAGGGTGGATGATTAAACACCTCCCAACTGAACTCCTGCAGGAGACTTGCTGTCCGTCGAGCAGTGTGCGGCCTAGCTTTACCGTACAGGAAGACAATACCGGCACTGAGCATCCCGCGCCGCTTGTTCTGAATGGCCCGTCGCAATTTCTGCAGTGTTTCACAGTAACGCTCAGCATTCACCGTCTCACCTCTCGTCAGGAAGTCGACGTGGAGAACGCCCCGTCTGTCCCAGAATACCGTGCACATCACTTTCCGCGCCGACGTCTACTTGAATTTCGTCTTACAGGGAGATCCACTGTGACGCCAATGCATTGACTGCTGCTTGGTTTCTGGGGTAATGTGTGCAATCCACGTTTCATCACCTGTGATGATCCGGTCCAGAAACTCGTCGCCGTCATCGTGGTACCGCTGCAGAAATGTCAATGCTGACTCCATGCGCTTTCTTTTGTGTTCTGGTGTCAGATGCTTCGGCACCCACCTGGCGCAAAATTTCCTGAACAGGTGCTACGTGACAATTTCGTGCAACAAGGAGCGGGAAATCTGCGGGACATGACTGCCGAGTTCCGTAATTGTGACGCGAAGATTCTCCATAATGCGTTCCCGCACAAGCTCCACCAGGTCGTCTGTAATGATGGATGGCCGCCCACTGCGCTTCTCATCATGCACACTTTGTCGACCTGCTGAAAACTGTCTGCACCAGCGACGCACCATCTGCTTGCTCATGACGTTAGGCCCATAGACCCGGCACAGCTGACGATGAATTTCGATCGGCGCTATGCTCTGTGCATTCAAAAACTTTATCACTGACTGCACTTCACAGTCGGCAGGAGCTGGAATAAGAGCCTCCATCTTCAACAGCTGCAACGATGCTACTGTGGGAACGCGGGAAATTCGTTAGTGCATGCGCCATGCTACGTCATTGCTCTATCACGTACGCGCAGTCGCTTCGCGCAATATAAGGTTTGCTAGCTGTGGGACGTGTGGGAAACTTACTTTGTGGACGTGCTACGTACAAACTGAATTTCTACTGCTAAGTAAAAAGAGTGCTCTTTTAAGGCTGCCAATTCACAACAATCCAAGTATGCAAAACAAAATTAATGGAGATGACACACTCAAAATAAAAGGATAAGAACAGATTAAACTGAGTTCAACACTTGAAAATGACAGACACATTCATCACATTAGAAAACAAAACAACTTTAACTAATCCTTATACTTTATTTAGCCCACATCACTATGTAGCAGTTTCTCGGTAATATAAAATACACGCTTTTCCTTCTAGTTGGAATTAAAAACATACTTCCCATGCTGAATAGCAATGTAAGAAGTTTGAAAAATACTCATCCAGAATAAATTCAATTTTATTTTAACATTCAATAAAATGAATGCTTTTGGTGCTAAAAGACTGGAGGCAACTTTACCTTTACATCTTCTGTGAATGTTCCTGTCAAACCTTGTTATTACAAGCGTGCTTACATTTGACATCCTTATTGAGTCTGTATCTAATATATACACATAAATGTAACGTTTCTGTTTCCACAGGAAATATACGGTAACAGATAACATGCAAAACATTATGAAATTTGCTCTGTACACTTACCAATATGTACAGAAGCTACAGTTGATAAAGTACTATGCAAGTGTTGAAGTTTTACTGCAGTTTTCGTTTTTATGTAACCTGAACTGTGATATGCAAGCTTTCCTCTTCTAATTATATAAGTAAACCTGCATGCTTTAATTTGATGCTTATTAATTCTTTAAAGTTTTAGATTGTGATACTGACAAGGAAGGCATCAATATTCTGGACAAAGAAAGGATACTTCTGCTTGTCTGCTATGAACGTGGAACATTTTCTTCAACGTTCTTTATATAATTACAAGAATGTGTATTCACAACAATATATATGAGTATGGAAGGAATACAGCCTCAAGTTTATTTACAAACTGCAAATTAAAGGAATTTCAGTTTCATTTGATGGTATGAGGTACAGAAATACAGAAGTGTTGTTGCAGAATAAGACTCTACATACTCTTAGCCATTTATGACTGAGCACTTCTTGGATTGTGATCCTCTGAGTGTGGTCCACTGTCAGCATCCGTCTCACCAGGTCCTTCGCAGCTTCACTAATAGATTCCCACTGTGGTGTATCCAGCTGTAAAGATAGTCACCAGTTAAACACACCAATTAAGAACTAAAAGACACACATCTTCACTTGAATTAATGAGGTATTTTCTAAAATTATTTTTAAAATATGAGATCTGAGGTTCTCACAATAACAATTACTTAGGTCATGGTCTTGTGTGATGTGATACCATAATAGTTTGGCAGGCAGGTAAAAATGTTCCAGAGGAACCTATCTTTCAGACCACATAGCACCACATCCCATAAGACAGTGATCTGAAAATAAAAAATCGGCAGGCCTTGTGAACACAGTAATCAGTTTTCAGATTCCATAAAAGGAGGGCTACTTCTTGAGTAACTGGATTGCTATTAGGTTCTCTACTCCATGAAAGTACTTAAATGGCAAAAAAATCACAATTAAATACACAATGAAACTAAAAGTAACTCTGGTAAGACCATGATTATCATTGATGGAGAAACGGGAAGTGGGGGACGCGTGAAATCTGTGGTCTCGCGAGTGACGTCACAATACTTGTGGAAACATAGAGAACTTTTACAGGCAACACAATGTCTATTAAGAAAAGCAAATGGGACAAAGAGCAATAATTCTCATCTTTAATTTAAGAGATTCCATTGCCAAAATATGGCTATGTCCTGAAAGTAGCAACTTATTATTACCCTACAGTCCTTCTTTTTCTTGAACTAATTGGATTCTTAAGCTTATGAAGTCTGTTTCATCTACTCTCATCCAAGATCAGTTTTCTCTTTCTAGGACGATTTCTGTTTCTTTCACTATGGGCTTTATAATACAGTGTGAACTTTGCAAAACGTGTGAAAAGAATGCAGAGAAATAAATTATTACACATTCCTATGGTGAAAAAAATCTGCTGGAACTGTAAGTTGTATATACTCACGTCTGAATAATGTTTGCCACAGGTGCTTTAACATTTTATTCTAAAAGTGAAATATGAACATCCATGATAATACAAGAACATGAAAGAAAACTCACTGCAAGTACCTAAGAGAGAAAAGGTATTATGAATACTTATAAGTTTACTCACTGAAATTATTTATGCACTTCAACATAAAGAGAATGATGTAACATACATGTTAAACTCTTTATGGCTGCATACTAATATTCTTATTTCACATGATGATAGGCAATTGTTTCATAAATGTGAACTTACATACAACTTTCCTCTACATATACTCTCATAGAGTCTGTCCTTGGTCCCCAGGAATGGCAATGTTCCAGACAAAAGGATATGCAAGAGCACACCAGCTGACCAGATGTCAACGGGCTTTCCATACTGCTGCCGTTCCACCACTTCGGGTGCCATGAAGTGAGGCGTACCTATTCGGCCTGCAATCATAATAGAATTTCACTAAAATTCATAACAGACATATTTCATGTATATTCAAAAGGACTCTTTAAAGTGAGACAGCAAACATACAGAATGTCCATAATGTCACATAATGAGAAAGTTTACATGAAATAAAGCCGGTTCTTATGCCATAAATTCTGGATAAGATTAAGAATAATAAATACAATGCATATTTTGGTTTCTATATGTAACCCTCAAACAGAAAACAAACTCCGTGGTCTGTAGTTTGCAAGCGAACTATACTGAGCAACCGCCGCTTGTCGGCGAAGTTAGTGCCAAATTTTGCGGATAGAGGGTGTCATGTGGTCAGCGCAACGGATTCTCACGGCCGTTAACCTCGGTTTTCTAGACCGGATCCGCTATTTCCTTCAAACAGCTCCTCAATTATCCTCAGAAAGCTGAGTGGGCTCCGTTCCAGACCCACTACTTCTCAGAAAATCAGGTAGCGCTCGGAATCAAAACCCGGGACCTCTGGATCTATAGCCAGGAACTCTGACCACTAGATCACAGAGGTGGTCAGCCTCATGTACCATATAACAATAAAGTACTAATTATTTGCAATCCACTTTCCAAACTTCCATGCTCACGTAACACTATTACCTAGAGTCATTACTGACAAGAACATATATTTTATTGATACCACTAACTTTTCTCTTTGCGGTAAAACAATCTACGATCCAATCAATCCAGACAATCCCCCTAAAGATCACTTTGCATATATGGTTAACAACGACACTCTACAGTGAACATATTTGCTCATAAAGTCGACATAATACGACATCCTTCCAAATCAACTTACTTTTAATTACACGTACTTCTAAATAAGCTAACTTGTTTGTTATCGTTAAACGGAGATATAAACCATTTACGCAATATGTCTACTACTGAATTAAATGCTGTATATTTTATTTATAAAAGAATGTTGGTCATGTCTGAACACTACGAACGGTTTGATCTGCGATAATTAAACAACAGAAATAATTAATACAGAAAGATATGGAACTTACGAGAAGGAACTCTCAGTTGTTCGCTTCACTTACTTCCACTGTGTTTATAAAGAGGGATTTACGGCAGCCTTTGCCTTTAGCGTATAGAAACACCGTCTTCATTAACTCCACATTACCAAATGAGTTCCAAAAATAAACAATTACATGATAAAGGATCGTTACAATACATGACAGATTTACGAAGCGTACTGCCGTTTACAATTTAATTAGATGTCAGATATCAGGCCTAGGAATTCTCCTCTGCACGATACAAGTTATATTCATAGAGCGAACTCTGTCTGGAATGGTGTCTATATTCTAACATCAGCTTGTCGTGTTTGGAGAGGCAAAACGTAACTGGCCTGTCATTCTCAGGACCCCAAATCCGTTTCATTATCAGTTTTGGGAGCTAAACTTTGAGTATGAACCAAATGTGTGGGTTATTATAATTGGCAATGTGACGAGCTACATATCCAACATATCAAAATTCTCTCGGTAACCTGTTCATTTCTTGGGTAGCGAATAACGATAGTGCAACTGGTGAAAATTACTTGCTTCAGACAGGGACCTCGAATCGGTCCTTAAAAAGACATATTTAAAGGACCGGTACTGATATGTAATTTGCAAGCTTTGTAAGACATGTTAAAACCATCTGGCTATGGGAACAGAGCGGCAATTCTCTAATTTTAGGTACCAGACCGAAATCTGCCGATAAGAGGTACAAAAATTTGCTTGTGAAGCAAATAGGAGAACTTTTAAGGTCTTTCATTCTGGTCCGTCACACTAACCAATTAACANAAAACAGGAGAACATTTCGCCAGCCAGGTCTCGAACCGACTCCCTGCTGAAGGAGTCACTGTGCGTACCCGCTCAGTTATGTGGCCATTAAGAAGCTCTGACGCAGGATGAAAGTGGACTTCCAAATGGTTAAAAAAACGTGTGGCAGGAACCGTTTATGATTATGCCAGTGCCACATGGGGTAATGGGACATGACCTCAGGAAATCTGGCATAATGATTCAGTGCCCAGAATTACGATCACCAGATTACCTACCCGATGAACTAACCCGACAATGTAAGCTTATTTCTTCTCCTTGAAAATATATGGAAGTCTCCGGCCTCTAACGGTATGTTGCTTCATCTTGGTTGCTGGCGCAAAAACCAGGTCGCGATGTATAGTAAACAATATCGGGCAGATATTCCCACGTAACTGCGCCATGTTTCAACCAACATATGTGACCTGGCGAGAAAAAAATTTGCAACATATACATGGAGAAGAATACTAGAGGTGGAGTAATCCAAAGCAATATTTCTTTACAAAGACTTCGCAGAACTTAGGGAAAACACTCCGTGTCACACGAAATGTTCGGATTACTTGAAACGTGCATTAGACACAAGCTTTTAAAAACTGACAGTGAACAAATTATGACAGAAACTTTGCAGTAATGTATGTATACAGATCTACTTTATATTCTCAGCTCTATAATAATGTCCCTGCTTCTTAACAAAGGAGTTCCTGGTATGAATCTTCGAACCAGTTATCCTAACTGAGAATTCTTTCTTAGTCCTTTCTTACTTGAAACCTTTCATGGCATGGCGATTCACAGTTCAGTGTTTGGGAAAGACATTAACAAATCAAAATTCCATTCAGGAGGAAATTAACATGGGACTGAATTCGGGTAATGCTTGCTACCATTCAGTCCAGAACGTTCTGTCTTCTCATCTACTGTGTTAGACGTACAATTTAGAACAGAGAAAACTATAATTTTGCCTGCGGTGCTGTACGGGTGTGAAACTTGGTCTCTGACATTAAGGGAGGAACATGGACAGGGGGTGTTTGAGAATAGGGTGCTGAGGAGAATATTTGAACCGAAGAGATGAAGTGACAGGAGGTTGGAGGAAACTGCTTAATGAGGAGCTTCATAACTTCGCTAAGTAGAATTAGAATGATAAGTCAAGGAGGATGAGATGGGCACAATATGTAGCATGAATTGGACGAAGAGGAGAGCATATAGGATATTGCTGGGAAAGTCACAATGAAAGAGACCACTAGGAAGACCAAGACGTAAGTGGGTAGATAATATTAAAATGGATCTTAGAGAGATAGGATGGGGTGGTATGTAATGGCTTGATCTATTTGAGGATAGGGACCATTGGAGGATTCTTGTGAGCGCCGTAATGCATCTTCGGTTTCCATAAAATGCTGGGAAGTTCTTGAATAGTTGTACGACTGGCGACTTCTCAACAATGGCTAAGCTCCATGAAGTTATTTAGTTAATTCTACAATTGGCAATGAACTGTACTTCCTCACACTAAATTTATGTTCTTAAACACTCCACAAAAATACACAGAAACCTAAGCCCAAGCCCTTTACTGTCACTTACTACAGGAGCTAGGGGGAACTACTTGTATTTTCAAAACAAAACATAAGCAAACAATCGGGCTGTTGCAATATGCTGCTACTGACAAGTTATATAAACTAACCACAATTTATTCCTGTAACTACTCACTTTACATTAATGAGACACAACTCTGAGAGAATTCTAAAAGTTGGCAAAAGATCTCCATTAAATCCACGACCAATTCACGTTTATACGCGTAGCAGTCTCTCAGAAATTTCTGTTACAGGGAACTTCATTTCCCTGCAGCAGTGTTTTTGCACCACGTAGCTAGCATAATGCAATCCATTGCCTTCATCCATGTTTACGTTTCAAAACGTTTTTGTAGCATAATGTTCATATGCTTCACGTCTTGTTTTACAAACATAAAACGTTTAATACAACTACAGACATAGCCAACACTTTCCATCGTTATCAAGTAAGACAGCACATAACCCGCAAATGACTGTCACAAAATTTAAAAGTACATGCACGATATACGTTTCTTTCCTCCCTCCACGCTTCCTTTTGTACCTTCTCACTTCCCTCTTTTCATTTCTCCTTCCTTTCTTTCTCTGCCATCGTTACGATACCGTCATTTATGATGAAAATTTTGCTAATAACAGAGGCGTATCTTATATCAGAGCGAAGTTTCCAATTTTGTATTAAGTATGGCTGAGTCTTCCCCCTAATTTCAAACGCCGGAGCTGCTGTCATCTTCATATTGCTGAAGGGATAAATTAAAACTTCGAAAAACTTCGATATGAGGAAGCATAAACTTCGTGTTAAACCTCTCAGCTCGTAAACAGATTAGGCGAAACATGTTCCTAATCAGAAAACGCCAACAGACGAGTATGCAGTATGTGTCTAGTGTTAACTGCACCATCCTACTGGCTATCGACGCCCTGTCAACTACAGAACTTCTGATGACGTCGATGACGGCCTTATAGGCCTGAAGCGTTGTGACCTGTGCTGTACCGACGTGAAGTAATGATCTGAGATGTGTGAAACGTTGCAGAACACGTCTTACATAAAGAGGGTCGAAATGGGGCCCTCCATATTGCAGCACACTTCCTTTCCCTGATATTCCGAATACATCATTCACATTGAAGTGTTTCAAAAACAAATCTACTCAGCCTCTAACAGAAATGAGTACCAGGAATTAATTAAATAATTTTCCTGGGGAGTAAAGCGCGGCCGGCGCGTAAGGCTGACAACCTTACCGCCATCTGTGAGCCGATTGTCTAGATAGTGTGGGACCCTCAACGTCTCACAGCCCTATGGGCCTTCATGGCCTGGTACAGGGATAGCTTTACTTTTTTACTCACTGCTCTTTATGCTCTACCTCGTTTAATTTCTTGAGATTGAACCTCTCCATATGAACTCTGTGTGTTGTTTGTTTGCTCACTGCCAGACACACATATACAAAACGTAAACATACGGAATAACATGGTGAAATTGATAAAAAAATTGAAATCAAATGAAAATAATAAATGAAAACAACAATAACAAACGCGTGAACTGTCTAAACCACAAAAGAGAATAAATTAGCGTCCATTGTTTATCTTCCGTCAAAACTGCAACACTTTTTACATTCTGCACTTCAACACTACATG